ATTCCCAACCAACCTTCTGGCCAGAGCGACGTTTCAAAATCAATGCCTCAGGTGACATTGTGGAGCTCTACCCCAGGAACACAAGACCCTGTGTGCCCTCGGGCCCCCGGCAGGCTCTGTCTCCACAGCTGAGTGACGAGGAGGAGATCCTTGGGAGAGACTGGACCAGGCAGGCTTTTCATCCACGTTCCCTTACAGACCTCCACTGGGCTCCCCATTTTTATGTTGGTGACAGGACAGTGGGTCAGAGCCTAGCACCTGAGGACCTGAGAAGGAAGCATTGCAAGTCTTGGAATGATGGCTTTGAGGATCAATTGGCCCATCCAGTGTATGTGCCTAAAAAGCCCCGCTCTCGGTATGTCCAGTACCCACAGCCCCCTCTGAAGCCCAGAGCTAAGCCCCAATTTGAGCCACCTCTCACAGAATCTGATTCCATGTCGGTAGCATCTAGTAGTGACCAGGAGCACAGCAGCACTGACCAGTATCTGCAAGTCGTCCACAGCCACGCCAAGAACCCCAGGCCTGTGGGTCAGCGTGGCAGGAGGAAGGCCAAATCTGGACAGGAGCTGACCACAGACCTGAATGACCTGATTTGTTCCAATGTTTAGGGACTTCTGGTATCCCATTCACACAGGAAACCCCTCCCTCTGGGAGTGCTGGTGATGGCATGCGGATCTGAAATCCATTCGGTAAATGGCCCCTCCCCTTCTGGAAAGAGATGAAGGTACCTTGCTGGTACAGATGGTGTGGGGCAGACTCAGTCGTGCCAGCTGCTGGCTGAGATTCAGACACTAACACAGCTACAACTGCCTCCTCTAGAGCAGCCACACCTGAGTGTGTGTCCAGCTCACAGCTGCACTCTCTCCCACTAGACCATCATCATTTAAAGAACACGCCAGGCCTTAGCCCCTGTTTGGCATGATCGAAGATCGCAGGCAAGCCTGACCTTCCATCTAGATCTCTGAGGCCTGACCCGACCAGTCTGCATGCATCCCTAGAGAACCGTGTGGATTGCCACGTACTCTTTCAATGTCCAGCACCCACCTCTCCATACAACGC